AATATGGCTGGACATTATTTTCTTTTTGCTCAGCACATCCTGTCTATAATCTGAAAGGTAAATAGGCCATGCCCAACATACCGACTCTTTTCAGGTGAAATTATCTAGGTTATAAAAACAAGCAACAACTGTGTTTCCATTATTCTTTAATTCATGGCTGAGGGAAATAGCTTCCAAACTAAATCTGAGAGGCAAAAATTGCTCACCAGGGAACAAACCCATAAATTTTCCCTCCTTTGATAACTGACTTTAGTGAATTTTTTTTTCTTCCACTTGAATTAGAATTGTGTGGTTATTATCTGAAAGAGTGTGTTGCAAATGCCAGGAAAGGAAATTTTGAATTTTCATGTTTGGGTTATTTAAATCCACAGGAGAGAGGGAGAGAGACAGAGTTTTTGCATATCATTAGTTAGTAGACTACCATCCCTGAGATATTTAACCTTCAAGTGCAAGAACAAGTAATTTTGCAACTCTCCCCATAATCCCTAAATATCAACTTCTTTGGCTCCATAATGCACCTAGTGATCTCTGAGTTCAGTCAGGCTAATGAGAACTATGACCATTTCTGTCCTGTATAGTTAGCCTTCCTTGCTTTATACTACACTTTTCTTCTGCATATTAAAGCTGAGCAAATAGTCTTACAGAAGCCACCACTGGAAACAGCACACACAAAGTTTCCTTTAACAAGAAAGTAGCTATGCTGATGGATTATCTGAAGCAACATCCATCACATTCTGTTCTCTAGATGTCATTTAAATCAAGAATTACCTACATGTAATGATTTAAGGCAGCATTCTCTGGCACACAAATTGTGGAGAAGCTAATGGGTGGGTGTTCCACTAAAAAGATGGCATGGTCAAATGGAAATGCCTCTTCAGAAGTTAAACGGGGTCCCCCAGCTTTTCTTTTAACCACAAGATTTCACAGAGCCTACAGAGTGCATTATGTGCCTTCCAAAAAAGGAAGGGAGAACATACCAGTTTCTGAGCTAATTTGATTATGGAACACTTTATTCAAGGGCTACCTCTGTTTTACAGAGCTGAAGGTCCACAGAACACACGTGGGCTGGGGCAGACCTCCCTAAAGACACGGAATCTCCCTAGAGGAGATCTCCCTAAAGATAGGGAATGAGCTGGCTCATTTTCATGGTCAAGTCAGACACTCCACCTCTATCCGTACTGCTCTCCCAGAGCCCGCTGATCTTGGGAACAAAATATTTAAGCTCACAGCAACATGGTCAGGGATACTTCTTAGAGAAAACAGGGCAAAGATAAAAATTTATAAAAAGCTTTACTGAATCTATGTAAGTACACTGTATCCAGGAGGAGGACCTTTCATTTGGTCATTCTCCTAATGAGGAGGGCAGAGAGAACTATCTTAGCAAAACTCTTTAAAATACACAGTATGCGCAAGAAGTCTTTCCTAGCCAATAATTAGGAGATGTCATCCAGTCATATTTAAAGTTGGAAATTAGTAGTATATGGCCTATTAAAAAATGTCACAAGGGCCACCTGAGTGCTCAGTGGGTTAAGCATCTGCCTTTGGCTCAGGTCATGATCTCAGGGTCCTGGGATCGAGCCCCACATTGGGCTCCCTGCTCAGCAGGGAGTCTGCTTCTCTCTCTCCCCCTCTGCTCCTCCTCCTCCACTCACGCTGTCTCTTGCTTTCTCTCTCAAATAGAGTATCTTCAAAAAAAAGTCACAAATTTCTTTTCAGCCTTAAAAACACAAAAAACACTTGGTATCTTTAATATCAATATTGAATATCTAATATTTCAGTGCAAACTAAAATCTGGGGGATCAGGCACATTCTTTAATAGTTTTTTAAAAGAAGGAATAAAAGGTCTAAACAATAAAAAGTTAGAGTAGCATTTCAGGTGAGTCTGATATCAGTTGCCAATTTATAGACAATAATGTAATCAAATACACGCAGCTAACTATTATTTTGGTAGATCACAGGGAATGATGGGCTATCAGGAAGGTTAATGTTTATAAGGCACAAAAAGTTCCAGACTTGGAGAGATATCAAAAACACCAAGCCATCTGACTTTCTACTTTGGAGCACTCCCCAACAATGAGGAAGTATGATTGCAGAGGACAGGATAATCTAATTGTGCTAACTCCTACCTCCAGATTACCAAAGGAGAACCGAGAAGCCGCTGTGTTGTCTTTAACTGGGAACCAAGATCTATTGCGACAATCCTTGGGAGGGTGTCAGATACCACCTCTGCGTGTGTACTTCTCTACCCGACGCTGATGCACAAACCTGAATCCTGAACCATGAAGTCTCATCGCGAAAACTGAATTCTATATCCTGCTTTTTTGAACATCAGTAACCCTGAGACAGAAATTTCCATCCCGCCTTTAACCAAACGTTGCTTGTGACTCATGCATTTCAAGGATTAGGCAAGGGTCCGAAACATATGGGAGAAAGTCAGAGAAATAATGCCTTTCGAAGCACAGCACTGGGCAGCACAGCAAGACCAAAGGAAGCTGAAGCCCCCCTTGGCTGACAAGGTCACTTCCTTAAGCAACACACGCTGATAGAAGAGGAAGAGCCAGTACAGATGTCACCATGGCCTCCTCCTGATGCCCTACTCGACCTGCAACATCCCCTGCCTGTTTGCCACCTCCCTCACCCCACTGTTTTTTCTCTGAGCCCTATTACTCAAGCCCATATAACTCACCCATTTATTCTGTTTATTGTTTATTATGCAACCGCCTTTGATGAGATACAGCTCCTAAGATCTTGCAAGGATCTCTGCTGGGTTTTGTTTCTGAAACTGGGAAGTCCCAGTGCCTAGAACAGTTGCTGGGACACGGGTCCTGCTCAGTGGGGGCTCCATGATTAAATGAATAAACACTACTACTCGTGGTCATCTTTGGATCTCAGCATTGGAGACATAAGGGAAGGATTTTAGTCACTTTCCTTTTTTTACCTAAAAAAGTCATTCCAAGGCTTCTCCCTACCTTAATCCTCAATCAAAAAAAAATAATTTTTTAAATTGCTATAAACAAGCTTGAGAACATTTTGTGTTGATTAGATTAGCTAACAAAAAAAAAAAAAAAGCCCACCGAGATGAGGCAAAATTTATTTCACCTTAACTTATCTGCTTTTGTTTTATTTTCTTTTTTATAGTATGCTTAGGAAACACGCCTCTTAATAAATAATTCTACTTCCTTAATGACTGGTTTCTCCCCTTCCCCTTGATGTAAGCACTGGTCACTGTAACTGAACAACTCAACTTCCCTCTCAAGTCAGGGCATTAAACCCACAACTGCCTGGGGATTATTAAGCTTTTTGTATAATAAACATTAACAGTCTGCCCACATAAGACCTACCAAAGCATAGATAAATGGTAAATATTTTAACCTGGGCATCAGGCCTCTCCCATCCTGAGATGCCAGCATGCGTCCTACATGACTCTGAATCCATCCTCAGGTTAAAAGGGTAGTTGATTCAAATACGTATAGGAGAGACAGGTAATAAAAACAGGGGAAGGGCACCTGAGTGGTACAGTCAACTGAGCCTCGGACTCTTGGTTTTGGCTCAGGTTATGATCTCAGGGTCATGGCATCGAGTCCCACGTCCAGCTCCGCAGCTCAGCAGGGAGTCTGCTTGGGGTTCTCTCCCTTTTGTGCTCTCCCCACTCACATGCTTTCTCTCTTTCCTTCTTTAAAATAAAGAAAAATAAATCTTTATATATTATATATATGGAGAGAGGGAGGGAGAGAGGAAGGGAGGGAGGGAAGATCATCTATTTCTGGGCCTATGAATACAGAGAAGCTACATCTTACCACTTTTTCATTTTCTCATGAAATTTCACAACTGGGAATCCAAACAAAAATGTGTTGAGCCCAGACGTGGCCCATGAGCATCAATTTGCAACTCTTGTTTGAAGCCTCAGGTCAGAGATCACTGCCACCAGTATGTCCGTCCCACCTCCAGGTGGGTGAGACATTCTTTTGATATGCTATATCTAGCTTCCCCTGATCCCACTAAACTTGTATGGCTCCTTCAATGTGTCCATCCTCCAAATTGGAAGTATCTCATTCACTGCTACATTCCCAACATCCAGCAGAGTGCCTGGCATACAGCAGGAGCTCAAAAGATTTCTAAATAAATGGAAATTTGAATAATACCGCTTGAGTTCATGCTTCCAGTAGCCACTTTGAATTCAACAGTCTGTTTCCCATCTTCACACCTTAACCAACCAATCTTCAGGGAAATGTGCAATGAGGGTCAGAGACATTAATACCAAGTGTCAAACTAAAAGAGACAAGCCCATCCCTGGAGTTCTACAGGGTTCTCTTGATTATGAAGAATAGGTACCATTCAGCATATTGTAAAAATAGAAAAAAAGAGAGATATGACAAAGTAAAAGAATTATATATCATGTGCTTTGTAGGAGATGAGCAAGTATAGGAAAGAAAATTCAGTAAAAATTGCTACCTGATTTCTCCCTCACTCAGAATATCTGATAAACTCCTTACAGATGGTAGTTAACTAAGGCATGTTAAAAATATTTCTGTTTTGGGGCACCTGGGTGGTTGAGTGGTTGAGTGTCTGCCTTCGGCTCAGGGCATGATCCTGGGTCCTGGGATCAAGTCCCACATCGGGCCCCCTGCAGGGAACCTGCTTCTCCCTCTGCCTGTGTCTCTGCCTCTCTCTGTGTGCCTCTCATGAATACATAAATAAAATCTTTTTTAAAAATTTCTATTTTGTTCTTGCCTAGTACTTAAGAACAGATTCTGCTTATTTAACCAAGCATTAAATTTCACAGATACATTATCCTTTGCCTAAAAAACAGTGACGGTCAGATTTACCATTTAAGATACTATTTGGAAACCGATCCAAACGTGGTTTTCCCTCCCAAACAGGAGCCTGTTGTAGCAAACCCTGACTTCTCAGAAAGCCACAGAAACCTATCCTGTACATTTTCTCATTCTCCCCTTTTGCATTTCCTCATGCTCATGATGACAGCATCAAGGAAAACTCACAGCGGTACAGAAGATGCACCGGCATTCCTGGAGTGTGGTCATCTTGTCCAGGGACTGTTCACACAGGCAGAGTTTGCAAGTGACGAGGGGGGCTGGAGCCAGGTCTCCTGGCATCGGATTTTCCGTGGTCATGGTGAGATAGTGGAGCCTACCAATGGAGCCCATCCACCTGTCCTCAGCGTTCTTCAGTTTCCTTGATCTCTGCGTTCTTCAGTTTCCTCGGTCTCTGCAAGAAGCAGAAAATATGATATTCATTCACACAGTTGTTGTTTAACCAACACACCTGAAAACCAACAGAGCAAACCTTCACCTTCTCTGATGTCTAGTGCACAACAAAGGCATTTCTGAGAACCATGGGCTACAGAGCTTACCACCTTGGCAAGGTGTTCCTGAAGTCCTGACATTTATTTATTTTTACGATTTTACTTATTTATTCATAAGAGGCAGAGGGAGAAGCAGACACCCTGAGGCGAGCCTGATGCAGGACTCAATCCCAGGATCCCGGGATCATGCACTGAGCTGAAGGCAAATGTTCAACCACTGAGCCACTCAGATGCCCCTGGAGTCCTGACATTTAAAGTGACCTCACCATCTAGAGGTGCCTGAGTGAGTAGCCCAGTCAGTTAAACTTCTGCCTTCAGCTCAGGTCATGACCCCAAAGTCCTGGGATCAAGGCCCACATTGGGCTCCCTGCTTAGCAGGGAAGCATGCTTCTCCCTCTCCCTCTGCCCCTCCACCCTACATGTGCACACACCTCTCTCTGTTGAATAAATAAATAAAATCTTTAATAAATAAACAAACAAACAAATAAAGTGACCTCACCATCCTGACTCATTGCATGTAAATTATGGCAATGAAAGGACCACAAAGAACAAACACACCATTCAGGAGTGGCATCACTACAATCCAACAGATTAAAAAACAAAAATACTTGAAAACAGGATGTCACTCAAAAAAATTAAACAAAGAATTGCCATATGATCCAACAATTCTACTCCTTGGTGTGCACCCAGAAGAACTGAAACTAGGGAGCAGACACTCGCACATCAATGTGCCTCACACCAGTGGTCATGATGGACAAAAGGCGGATACTATCCAAATGTCCATCAAAGAGATGAATGGATAAACAAACTGTGATATAAACACTCAATGGAATACTATTCAGCCTTACAAGGGAATGAGACTGTGACACACGCTACAATACAGATGAACCTTGAAGACATTATGAGAAGTGAAATAAGCCAGACACAAAAGGGCAAATATGGTGTGATTCCATCAATGCGAGGTACCTATCAAGTCAATGTCAGAGAGACAGAAAGTAGAGACAGAGGGAATTAGAGAGTTACTATTTCATGAATATGGAGTTTCTGTTTGGAATGATGACGAAGTTCTGCAAATGGATAGTGTGACGGTTGCACAAGATTGTGAGTGTGCATCATGCCACTGAATTATACACTTAAAATGACCAAAATGATAAATTTTATGTTATGTATAATCTTACACCTATACATTTTTTTCAACAGTGTTCACTGTGTTCATCAGTGTTAACTGTGTTCCTTCACATACGTCATTTCATTTCAACTTTTGCAACCCTGAGGATGTTTTCCTTTGCTCCGTAGAGGAGTTGAGGTCCTCAGAAGTTAAATAATAGGCCAAAATTCTCAGAGCTTGTATAGCGCAGAGCAAAATTCAAACCTCCATCTTCTGAAACGATGCCCAAAGCCTGGTCCACTACGCCAGGGCTGCCTCACTAGTGGGTTTTACATGGAGGGATGGAACATGGAGAGAAAGAGAAGGAAGAAGGGGTAGGGAAGAGGGAAAGAAGAGAGAAAGAGACCAAAAACCCATGACTACAAGTATCATAAGATTACTAAAACTATACAGAGTGAAATCTGTCTCCAAACATGGCATGAATATAGAAAGGATTTTTCTACGCTGAAAAATAAAAATTAGAGCTGATGCCCTTCTACTTGTTTTTATTCAGATTATCTTTAAAAGAGGTAAAGTAATTGTAAAAATAATCTTCCGTAGTTTAGAGCATATCAAGAAATTCCATGTTCTAATTAAAGAAAAGCAAAATCTTAAAGTTCTTACTATTTTAAAAGACTGTGGCCAACAGAAATCATCTAAAGAGCCTCTCCCGCTACAAGAACCAGACTCTTCCCCCCGCCCCCATTTTTGGGCAAAAGAAATTACATGTTTGGCATCTGCTACATAGCCCTACAGTGGCTTACGTCTCAATATATATGCACAAAGGTACGCAACAATGGAGAGAAAAACAAACTGTATTAGATGGAAGGAAAAAGAAGTTTTTGAGGTTCAGCTCCACCAACTTAATATCATACCAGAGAGAATCAATAGTTACTAACTCTAGTAACCTGAAATATTCAAGGTTTTTCCCCTACTCCCTCTCTGAGTAGCAGTAGACTTAATTAAAAATACATTTGAATAGGAAGCTAAACAGTGATTGGCCTCCATGATATTTCTTGGGAAAGGCCCAATAAGGTTCGAGACATGGTGTTCTTATTTGATTAACTACTAATTAGCTATCATCCAAGAGCAAAACAACATGCCTACCAAATTCAGTATTTTGAAGGGAAAATCTATCTTTAAGGTCAATTAAGAGTAAAAATAAGTGATTTTGTCTGTCTCCTCCTTGCAGTTTACATTAACTATCATTTGTTTGTTTCTCCAAGACACCCCCGTTCTGTAACACATATATCACCAATCTCCCCCAACTGCTGTCTTCACATTTCTGTTTTCCCAACATGGTGCATACCATATATTCCAATTATCTTTGCACTCAAAAAGAGAAATCCCAAGTCAAACACCAAGAAGAAAGTGTAGCTAGTACACTTCTCATGATGAGCACTGTATAGAGCAATGTATAGAACTGTTGAATTGCTATATTGTTCATCTGCAGCTAATATAACACTGTATGTTAACTATACTGGAATCAAAATGTTAAAACTTAATACAATTTTCGAAGAAGCAGAAGAAATGTAGCCAGCAAATGCTTCCTGAGGAGGAAAGACAGGAATGACACAGGCTGAACCACCTTCCCACCACAAATGTCAATTACATGAAGAGCCCATTTGGAAGAAGCAATTATGAATAGGTAAATCCTGTTGTTCCAACCCAGCAGAAGACCTAGGTATTCTTCAACAAAGTCAATTATTTCTTACAGCCTTAACCTATATTATTTTGATTTTTTTTTCATTTTTTAATATAACCTCTACCCTCAATGTGAGTTTTGAGCTCATGAATCCAAGACCAAGAGTTGCATGGTCTACTGACTGAGCCAGCCAGGTGTCTCTCTATATATATTTTTAAAGGTTTTATTTATTTATTCATGAGAGACAGAGAGAGAGGCGTAGAGACACAGGCAGAGGGAGAAGCAGGCTCCATGCAGGGAGCCCGACATGGGACCGGATCCCAGGTCTCCAGGATCAGGTCCTGGGCTGAAGGCGGCGCTAAACCGCTGAGCCACCCGGGCTGCCCCTCTCTTTATTATTTTTTTAGAAAGAGACCTATAACACTTGAGAAACAAATATGTAATTGAATACTTCTTAGATTATCTCTTAGAATTCTTTTGAAAGCAGAACTAGAAATTGTCTTAATCATGGCCACCTGAAACAATCTCCTCTCTTGCCATGTCCATTAAGTTTCCACTCTTTGCTTTGTGAGTTACAAAATCAAAGTTATAAAAATATAAAAATAGGGATCCCTGGGTGGCGCAGCGGTTTGGCGCCTGCCTTTGGCTCAGGGCGCGATCCTGGAGACCCGGGATCGAATCCCATATCGGGCTCCCAGTGCATGGAGCCTGCTTCTCCCTCTGCCTATGTCTCTGCCTCTCTCTCTCTCTCTCTGTGACTATCATAAATAAATAAATTTAAAAAAATTTAAAAAAAATAAAAATAAAAATATAAAAATAGGGACACCTGAATGGCTCAGTGGTTGAACATCTGCCTTTGGCTCAGGTCGAAATCTCAGGGTCCTGGGATCAAGTTTCGCATGGGGCTCCCTACAGGGAACCTGACTATGTCTCTGCCTCTCTCCCAGTGTTCTCATGAATAATAAATAAAATATTTTATTAGAAATAGTTATCACCTCCAAAAGTTTCCTCCTGCCCCCTTTATTTATCAGTGTGTGTGTGTGTGTGTGTGCATGTGGCAAGAGCACTTAACATAAGATCTACCCTCTTAGCAGATTTCTAAGTATGCAATATAACACTGTTAAGTATCAGCATTATGCTATTCCACAGGCATATAACTCATCAAGTTGTATATATTAAATATGAATAGCTTGTCTGTCAATCCTACCTCGATAAAGTGGTTTAATATACATACAACTTTTTAAAGTGTACTTTATTTTTATGACAAAAGCCTTTTCCAAAGCAGAGACCTGTTTTGTTAGAACAACAACAAAAATTCCAAGCATTCCAAACAAGGCACTGCTTGTAGTGGAGACTCAGGAAGGAGGTCACGTACTTCATCTCTTTGAGATGTGAACAATCCAAAATGATTCTTCAAAAAGAAATGATTTATGTTTCTGTGTACCATAACACCAATTCCCTAAAGTGACATTCGGACATTTTTTAAAGCAATGGAATTTTACAAAAACACAATTGTAAGTGAACTGCCACCATTTCAAGGAGCTAAGGGGAGGCCGTGCTGGGGCCAGCAGTACTAGCAGAGCTGGGCCAGGTCCCCCGGACCTTTCCCTCAGCAGCCTCCCAGACACCATCACAGAAGACAGAGGCTTCATCAGACACAATTTGAAAACTAGCTTCTTGGTTTTTGCTCTGGGCAAAATCAGTAATGAACATTTTAAGAATGAGTGCTTCATTTAAAAAAAAGAAAAAAGGCATCAAACAAGAAATCCTTTCCCCATTGATTCATTACATAGAGAGCTCTGCAAGCAATCATCAGGAAAACCCTGAGACTGTCTCCCTCAGATGCTGGTCAGTGGCTCTAAGGCATCCTAGTGGTCCTCTGTTTATGTCTTCCCAGGATTCCTGGGTCTCCATGACATGCAACCACCAAGAGCAGAAGCTCACCTGCCCACCCAAACCATGAGCATTGGCATGACTCTCAGGGGGGTGTCCAGAAGAAGGTGACCACACACACCTGCAGCTCCGGACCCTGTCACAGGATACAACTTCACAGGTAAGCTGACAATCCACACCCACACCCCTCTGGGTTCCAAGAAGTCTTCCCTCCAGAG